ACAGAGATTTCTGCATCACGTCAGGAATGTAGGCATCGCCCAGATTTTCTTGTAATGATCTGATTGAGCTTATAAACTGCAGAAAAATTACGAATGACCCTGAAAGCGCTTAAAGACAGAATAAATTTGAAGGCAAACCGGAAAATAAAGGACAGAAAGTGGGTTCAAAAAACTAATTAACAACCACGCAGCTCATCACGATAAAGGTGAATGCACAGTCAATCTGAAAACATGCAGTAGTTTTAAAAGTTTTCGATTTAGTTAAACACAACATGCTCTGGAAACTGCAGTTGAAATTAGTTATCCTATTACTGATTCAACTTTTTAATTTTTTACACTCCTGGATTTTGAAAATGAATTTGAAAATGAATTTGAAAATGAAGTACCTGGAAGCACACCAGGATGTGTCACATTAAAGAGGCTATTACGCGTTGCTGAGTCAGCTGACTGTTTCACCAGAAACGATAATAACGACGATGCTAGACGTATTGCATGGTGGCCAGAACACGGGTAGCAGATTTGCCATTAAATTTGACCGCGAATAACGCATAGATTTGATTGCAATAATAAAATAACATGAGCAAAATATAATAATGCAATGATAGAAACAGGATAAAGTGCTTCAACAGCTGCTCAATAGACTTGACCGACAGATCGAGGACGTAGGTTACGCTCAGTTACTTCTACGTCCAAAGTAATGGTGACGTTTAAACATGTCACGAGGGTTATGGTCGATGAAGCGATTACTGATAACACAGCGAGTTACAGTTAGAGATGATTTCCTATTTAAAGACAAACTGTGTAAACAAAGCAATTCATAGAAAACATGTAACAGGATCAACTCGACAAAAACGTGGAAATACAATGAAACCAGTCTTGTACTCACGTCTGACCTGGCCGAGTCTCTTTCAAGTTAGAGCTGTGGTAATTGGATGGCTGAGCATTCCAATCAGCCTTTTAAGTTAATCGTTGACACGAACTATTATCCAATATAATCATGAATATATTGAATAAAACGGAGCATGAAATAAAAATTCATCGCTTTAATTCGTAAATTTGACTCGTCATTTCGCAGACGATAGTAACGTAGCCGGCGTGCCTCTGTTATTTCGATCCCATGCCGACTTCGCTCTGCGGATAAGGAGAAATACAGTGAAACAGGTAGAGAAGTTCACGCACCTCAATGTCTTGTTTACTTATGATGGAAAATGGGACGAAGAGATCGAAAGGTGAGCTTGGTTGCCAGCGGCGTTCTCTGTGAACTATTCGGAATCCATGTGATTAATGCAGCGCATAATTTGAAGATTGAACGTTTGTGTTCAAGTCAATTATTATCCCCATTCAAACCATGACTTGGACCCCGTGGTCAACCGTCTTAAATAAAATTTCGGAGACAAGTCGCTGGAGTCACGTGTTTTAACGTGGTCCGGAGTTCAGACATCTAAAAGAACCTTGGTATGCAACCGCTGCTTCTCCAAGCTGGGAGGATGGGAGCTGCACCGGCTTGGACACATTTTCCGAACGTTTTCAGAAAGAAAAATGATACAGCTGCTACTTGCGCAACCGGCCGGCAGAAAACCCTGGAAACGGCTAAGAATGGTCTGGACAAGTGTCTCGACACACTCTGCTGAAAACGTAGGTCATTTTCTGCTCAAGCCCAAACGCTCACACAAGATCGGAGCTGCTTTGGGGATAATGGCTGACACTGTTGCCTCTAAGGATAAGCGGTCACGAAAGTTGATTGACTAATTTATAAATGGAAACTAAAATATTCTTGTCATATATTGAAACAGCACAAATCCTTCAAAACATCATTTCTGGCCATTCCTTGAAACGAAATATAATTGATGGCAGATGGTCGAACATTTAAGATAACTGCCCGATAGAGTAAGTTGCCAATAAACTAGCCTTTCAAACTGCTGACGGAGACCATAGAAAAATGTCATCACCATCCTTCGAAACAGAAATGCTTCCAGTTGCCATCATTATGACGACGATAATCATTCAATCTACTTATATTCGTGACATATGCAAGTTTTCATGCATTCGTAGTGGTCTTTTGTTGGCTAAAACCAGAATTCTTCTTCAAGTGACGGTTTATTTTGAGAACGCTACGTAGAAACCGGCAGGGTGTAATTTTTTGGAGCGTTCTTTCAGCCCTATATTCTTCAATTCTGGATCTTACTCAAATTGTTATTGCTGCAATGACAATGCCGTGGAATTCGAAAGATTTCCTGAAGCAACTTTGCGATGATTTGCAACAGCACGGAAAAGTAAAACTTATTTTTTAAACAGAGCAAAACAACATTATATTCTGAGCGTTTCGAATAGTATTTGACTTTCTTCTTCATCAGGGCCTGTGCGATTTCCCATGGATGTTCGACGTTCTGAACCAGTGCATCAAACAACAGTGAGAACTCGCCCAGCTAAGAAGGGACAGTGAAATACTGTTCTACGCGATTCGGTTTAAGCTTGGTTTGACTGTCCGATAGAACCTTTCGTGCAGCGTCACAAATCGTTTCAAAGCTGCCACAGCAATCTATAACTAACATCTATGACATCAGTTTGTCAACCGTTTATCCTTTCCGGTCAAGAAGGAAAATTCCCTTGGTCATTAATTTGAATACTCACGAAACGAATGTAGTTTTGTCGATCAGCAAGTTGTACGGGTCGATAGTTTCCTCTCGAAGGCGCTCCTGGTGGGCACGCTGGAAGTTCTGTAGCATTTTTCGCAGCCTTGGATCTTTCTTTCTCAGGCCCGCTGATCTCAGTGCCTAAAGCAGAAGTTACAGATATTTCTCAAAAACACATGGTGCTTACCGCAAGGAATTTCGCCACCGATACCATTTCATTTTCGTTTTTAAATATGGTGAAAATTAGTTCTTCCATTGTCCGGCTACCAGCGGACTCCGGGCAAATACTGCTTTGAGCTACATCAAAACTAAATACATCAGTGGCAATTTTGATTAAGATTCAATTTTGTGAATATTCGATTGGTAACTCATACAGTACGTGCAACCTGATTGTAAATGTTCAAATTCGTTTGCTGACACATCATAAAGCAATATTTTCGATACATCAACTGCCGCAATGAAGTGACAAAGTATCGCGCAACTCAATAATCCAGCTACTTGAACGCTGTCGAGTCAAAATTTATAAAATGCTGCAGCGACGCATGCGACGTTGCTATCATCTGACAAATTTAGTTTATCTGCAGTTGCATTGAAAACGCGGCATATTTTAGCAACATAAATATTTTCGTATGCTGGAATAATGTATAACTCGTCCAGCACCAGACTACACGGACAGTTGCACCGCCCCTTGCTCCTAGTTCGCCAGGTAGATTATTTAAGTAGGTCACTGTTCCATGGTATCTCAGCATCTGCAGCGTGATATATATCTCGCTTCATTTTGCTACGGCCACCTTGTGCTCATTATGAACGATGTTTCTGGAGATGATGCTCCTTACAGACTACCACATAAATATCAAAATATGTTGGTACGCAGGAGTATGCCAAATATTGCATAACTGAAATCTTGTCTTAATAGAGTCATGCGCTACTTGACAAATTCTCGTATACATGTGTATGCTGATGGCGATGCTACAGAATATAAAGAATGCCAGCTCTTGGAACATCAGATTTGTAGTGTACGCGAGGTGTATATAGCGAGCTAAATGATGCAGGATGAATCTGGTCCTGCAGATGCTGGAACATCATCGAATAGTAACCTGCTTAAATAATCCTCCTAAGCAACTAGGAGCAAAAGACAGTACAACATGCCACGAATTCTGGTCTTAGAAGGGTCATGTGCTAAGATTTAGCAACTTCGACTTGAAGCAATATTTCTCTGCATTAAAACGCTTATTTATAGGACTCATTACTTGACCATGGACTGCTAAGTTCTTGGAACAAACAATGTGCAAAGTACTTCCAGTTCTGTCAGATTTTGGTCTGAATCAAAGCCAAGGAGCAGCTAAGCATCGGCCAAGTAAAAAAAAAAGAAAGCTTGTAACATTTGGGTTTTTTTACCCGTTCATTATGCGCATCATCTAGCACCGTCATCTCAAGAGCGATGCTGATTATCGTTTCGATGCCATCAATTAGGACCAGTTCATTATTTAAACGCAATATCCGTAGCTATGAGGCCATTACAACATGCAATTTCTTGCTTCCTCGCTGCATAATGCTGTTAACTTATTAATTCCGATGGATAAAAAGTGTTTCCACCGGGCTTCGAACTTCCGATCTTAAGACTGCAACTTCGGCGCGTTGCAGACGGTATTGTACGAAATGAAACTGCTCAATGAGGCATTTCTAATTGCGCCCACTGCTGCTTCGTTCGGTCAATTGTAAAGCATCCCATTAGTTTGCGATCGATTATCGAGGAAAAAAATTTTTTCGTCTCGCTTAAAATGGTCGTTTCGTTATCTGCCTAGGAAAGTAAGTGAATGAGAGCTTTACGAAGTCAGCGAGACGTTCTATTTCAAATTTAACTAGAAAATAATTAATTAAAATTTGAAATACTTGTCCAAAGCGCAGGATAGGATAGGATGGGATATCGTACAGAAATTGCATTTTAGTTGATCTTAACAAAAATGAACATGATTTTGAAAAGTACAACTCACATCTTCAATGAAAATATGCAAAAATGAAGGCAAACCTACCTGGTAATGCTGGGGCTGGGTATCTCACGAATTAACAGCAACTGTTTGGGATCATTGGCTAATATTAAGTCATATATACCGAACTGTTGCTATTTGAAACATGCTACGCCAGACTCCGCTGTTTAGCCTAAAGAGGAAAGGCGACGCCTTTGACTATCCATCAGAGTGAGAAAAGATTCGAAGCAAAACACTTCTTGAGGTGATCATACCATCGGATCAATGAAATAGATCATCACCACTTACTAGTCAACTGATCGAGGTCGATAAGCTACAGAAGCGAACCCGCTAGATTTTAAAAAGATTATTACAACTCTAACCTTTGGCAGAGGATTCGAGCTGAGGTGGTGTTCGTGTTACTCCTGTTATATTTCACGGTGTGACTGAAATAACAGTATATTAAATTATGACGACATGAATGTGTGATTTTTAAATGGTTACTGATACGCTGAATTTCCAATCGTTTCATCTGTGTTTGTTGTCGGAGTATCCTTCTAGAACGCAGAGCTGCCTTAAAAATAATAAACTACTTGACCTCACTTAACATTGCTTCGTTGGTCTACTACCGCTGCGTTATCGCAATACTCAGTGGATACGTCGAGGATGTATCATGGAAAACTTGGAAATAACGTAATAGAAGTTAACTGCTTAAATCCACTTCAAGTGATGTTGAAAGACTTTGATTCCATGAGAGTTTCGAATTCGTTTATCCACTCCTGAGACTGACGAGTGGAACAGTTATAGCTCATATATCTACCTTTCTCCCTGCTCTAAATTTTGAATTGAACGGAGACTTATTCAAGAGAGCTTCATTTATGATTTTTTTCTACCCACTTCCTCTTAGAGTCGTTAAATGGAAAAGTTTCTTTTTGCTATCATTCCTTCAGTCTTCTTCTTACTCACCAACGTACATCGGTCAGTTTCAGTTTGATTATATTTTTAGAATAAGAAAACCAATCCATTAATGTATAGCATATGTTATTATATGCATGAAGCAAATAATTTGCATCGTCTAGAACCTCAAAAGCACTGACGTTCAGCGAAATAAATCCAGCAATGCCTCTGTTACGATTAAATAAACTTTATCGCCGTTTCGCATCTGATTGCCTTTTCAGACGTTTAGTCTAAGCTAAATTGCTTTCTAAATATTTAAGTCCATTAGAAATCAACGCAAAACCTGTGAGTGAAATCCCGTTTGTCGTCTCTATCCAATCAGCTTTTGTTTTCTGCAGAATTCGTTGGAAAATCAATGCGTAGGCTCAAGTTTCACCTCACTTTTAATTAGTTGCACGCTGTTCCGACGCGCACAATGAAATATGTTCTATGAGTAGTTCATATGCGCATACTCTGAACATCGCAACCCGCAATGCAATGTGTACAAGTTGACGTTTGCAGCCTATTATGAATAAAGCGGCAATCAATAAACGTAGAATGATTATGAGCATGTTTCGATGCGAATGAAAGTATGAAAAGTTCAGATAGTTTAAACTGCAAACTATATATTAACCCTACGATTACTGACAAGTCATCGGGTTCTATTATTCGGGCACCAACGTTTAAATATTCAGTGAGTTATATAATAAATAATGCGCTCAGCGGTAGAGAGTGGCACCATTATTAATCGTTGTTGCTGCTGATCCCAATGATAGAGGTGAAATGGCTTCAGATACTTTATTAGTGGCTAGCAAAGCACTGCTATTAACAACGAAATGATGTGAGATGCATCGAAGCATCGTAGGCAAAAGATCATGAAGTTATTGCCAGGAACCATGGGCATCTAGGAAAAATCGGGCTGGGTCATAACGCAGTAAAACCCGGCTTAGTGAAGTTATGCTTATGAACTTTAATTAACCAAAACATTTGCCCCAAATGCCTCCGTTTCCGTTCGATAGCATGCAAAAAGTGCAATCGGAATCGAATCTATCGAAAAATCAATAATCTAGGAGTTGAGGTTCAAGCACTTTAGTGCTTAAGAATGTTGCTCCTAAAATAAAATGGACAGGAAACTACCGATAGATACGAGCACAGTTATTCAACTATTTCAGTCCTCTGCATGACTAAAGTTTCTCAAACACTCTTGAAAATCGTTATCTTATCAGATGCCATTTGAGACTTTAAACATAAGTGACGTCTTCTAGCCACCAA